CCAACTGCACCCCATGCAATTCTATATTCCTGACCAGTCTCCTGAGTGGTCCTGAGCTGATTGGGGGGCAGATCAGCTGTTCTTGCTGTGCCCCAGTGGGCCCATCTCCCCCACTGCCCATGCTGCAAACACTTCCCTTGGGATGGGCCGTGCTTTGGTCTCTTGCAATGACTCACAGGCCTTTTATTCAGTTGTTGTGGCTTCTTTCTCCTATGTGGGTCCACGGTAACCCTATTAGTGGTCTTGCTGGCCTGGGTGCCACCCTGGCCCTCTTGTCCCATCGCCTCCAAGCTACTTCACCCGAAAGGCACAGCTGGGGCTTTTGCCGGCTCCTGTTCTGTGCTCCATGCTCTCAGCAGCTCCAGCCTGGAAGCGGCTGGGGCTTGAAGTGGTCAGAGAAGTTTTTTTTTTCTCTCATCATGGCTTTACCTACTCTGTAGGTCTCTCTTCCTCTTCCCAAGCTTTAGCAGCCCCAGCTTGGCTGTCAGTTGCTTTTTTATAGTTGTAAATTGGTTGATTTGTGGGAGACAGTGAGGCTCAGGACCATCTATTCTGCCATCTTGACTGGAAGTCCTAACTGTAACTTTGTACCAGTCTACCAACCCTTCTCTGGCCCCTGCTTCCCTTCCTTTCCCTGCCTCTGATAATCACTATTCTATTTCTCTTTTTATTTTTCTTAATTAACCCAGGATAATTATATATATTTATGGAGTACAATATGATAACTGGGTACATTCATACTGTGTGCAATGATCATCAGGGTGCTCAGTATTTCCATCACCTCAAACATTTGTCACTTCTTAGTGTTAGGGACTTTCAACATCATCTTGACTAGCTATTCAGATACACAGTACTTTGTTGTTAACTGTAGTCTCCCTGTATTACTATAGAACCCTAGATCCCATTCTTCCTGTCTTTCTAATATTTTGTGTAACACTCATCACCCTCTCCCAATACCTCCCACCAGTCTCTAGTAACCACTATTCTTTCTACTTCTATGAGATCAACTTTTTCATCTTCCAAATATGAGTAAGAACATGGTGTTTCTCTCTGTGCCTGGTTTATTTCACTTAACATAATTTTCTCTAAGGTCATCCATGCTGCAGCAAATGGCAGAATTTCACTCTTTTTATGCCTGAGTAGTATTCCATTGTGTATATATACCACATTTTCTTTATCCAATCATCTATGAAAGGACATTCAGGTTGGCTCCAACTCTTGGCTAATGAATAGAGCCGTGATAAACATGGGCATTCAGACGTTCCATCAACTTGATGATTTCCATTCCTTTGGATATATACCCCAATAGTGGGATTGCTAGATTATGATAGCTCTATTGGTAGTTGTTGAGAAATCTCCATACTGTTTTCCAAAGCAGCTATACTAATTCACATTCCCACCAAGACTGTTTTAATTTTAAATACAGGAGAAACAATCAGTGGGGAATCAGCCTAGGCTGTTCTGGAGACAGAGACATTAAAGGAGTTAAAGTCAGCTTTCACCCAGGTTCTCCAACTCATGCTTAACCTTCAGTAACAGGAAGTATAGAATGGAAAGACCAGGACATGTAAAACTGAATACCACCTAAATCTCATTTTCCTCTATTAGGACTTTTAATCTGTTTCCTCGCCTGTAAAATAGAATAACAATACATATTCTACAACATTAAGATTTATTTAATATACTAGGAAGAGGCTTTGTAAACTATAAAGGGATAAATAAACAGCAGTAATTGTTACCAACAAACAGAAGTTAACTGATTATAGGACAAGGACACACACACATCTATTTTCAGAATTTACTTACAGCCAATCACTGAGGGGGAAACAAAAAGAAGAGTACTGTGAAAAACAATGGTGTTAGATTTCTTAGTAATTTCGGGTTTATTTCTACCCCCAGGACCTCTGTCATGTTCCCTCTATGCATGAGGCTCCATGACAATAAGCTTATATTTATGAATCCAGTCTTCCTGGAATCCAGTATACTCCATTTGCTGTTCAGCTGGAAAACATTTTCAGCCCTTCCAGCCTAATCCCAGAACACCATGATTTATGGCAACTGAGATTCCTGAACTCAAATAAAATAAACTGAGGCAAGTGGTCAGCACTGTGCTGAGCAGCAACTCAGGAGCCCACACTTGCCCACTGTTGTTGCCACTGTCAGAAGGGCTGCCAACAACTAAAAGAAATAAAAAGGAAAAAACTCCTCTCCTCCTCACTTTTCCTCCCCCATTTACAGTCTCCTGGATTCAGAAAAACTAAAAGAAGCCAGCAAGAAAGGGAGTCTGGGAAATGAGCTTTACAGATCTAGATCCCTGGATTGGAGAGTAAATAGACACATAACCAGAATGGGGGGTTTTTAAGAGGCAAACACATAGCTTCCATTAGCAACAATAAAATGGAATTGTTAGCTAAAGCCCCAACCACCTCATTAGTTTAAATAAGATGTTTACGGGGCCAGCCCATGGCTCACTTGGGAGAGTACAGTGCTGATAACACCAAGGCCATGGGTTTGGATCCTATGTAGGGATGGCCAGTTGGCTCACAGGCTGAGCGTGGTGCTGACCACACCAAGTCAAGGGTTATGATCCCCTTACTGGTCATCTTTAAAAAAAATAAAAATTAAAATAAAAATAAATAAATAAGATGTTTACTTGAGATCGGGGGATCATCTTGTGTAACTCAGAACCAGAATTGCATGAAATGGGGAAATCTACCAGGCTGGGATTATACCACTCTCTGAAGAAGCACACATGTTCCTGCCTCTAGTAGTCAAAGAGACAAAAGACACCAGGAGCTGTTACACATGGCAGATTCTTTATTTTCATATTAACATTAAAACATAAAGCATAAACATAGAACACAAGAGATTCCATGGCCTATTTTCAAAGCAGATGCAAGGATATATAAAATGACAAGATATTTTGAATTCACTGAACTCCAAGCCCTCAAATGGAAAAAAACGTTAGAGGTAGGGGTGAGGAAATGTGGTGGGGCAGAGAGCCTGGGTCTATAGATGCAGTCTTCTGCAGGGGGAACAGGGGCTCTTTTTTTGGAGAAATCAGTCATAGTCATGTGTATTTGCTTCCAAAATCATCCACATTTACTGTGGGAATGCAAGGATTGGCAGGACTTGAGATTCACTCAATTTGCCTGGTAATAAATCCCCTGGTTCCTACTTTTAGGGTAATCAATCAGCATCAACTGAGTGTACGTCAAAGCAAGTCAAATCCTAACCCTGCTACGCCCCAAAGACAAAGGCAGCCAGAGGCCTGACCACCTGCATCCGCTCTGTGGCAATCTGCTGAAGCCAGATGAATTCTGCCATTTAATTTAAATCCCATTCTGCCACTGAAGCTCCAGGCATGAGCAGCCACTCTTAACCACAGACATATCAAAAGCAGTATTTCCTCTGAGAAATAGGGGCTTTTTGAAAAATGTCCTCAAATAGAAGGAGGTCATTAAAAGGCACAACTAGAACTTGGAACACTGGGAAAATCTACTGCAACAACCTCTTAATGGAGAGAAAGATCCTGGAAAGAGCTCATAAGGTGACAGGTCATAAGTGTTCTGTAATAAAAATGATAACATCTCTCTAACAATTATTTAAGAAAACCACACTGCCCAAACCTTGTCATGTCCTGCTGTGGACAGAGCAGCCTAAGGCAAAGCAAATAAATATAAGCCAAGCCCTCTATTGGGGAAATTTCAGCTCCCAATGTTGGACAATCCAGGATTGGAATGAAAGTTGGTGGGTACCTCCCTGACACCCATTTAGGTCTCCAACCACTATTACCTTCCTGAGAATAAACATTTCACTAAAAACTTTTAGAAAAGGTTAGGGACGCAAATCAGAGGAACTTGGAATCAAACATCAGTTTCATAAGCCTTTACCTGGGAATTATAAACACTCAAGAACAGCCCGTCATTCTGAGGGACTGGCTTTATTCAGATAGGAACTCTCTCAAAATGGGAGACAAGCCCTTCTCCTGTCCTCAACAGCAGTCTGAGCAGCTTCTCTTTTGTAAGCTCTGTTAGTCTCTTGCTCCTGATCTCTGATATTAGGGAAGATTCAAGTGGAAAGCTTTGACTTATCATTCACCTTTTCCTAACAAAACAGAAAAGGAATGGTCTTTAAAGCACTGGCTTAGATGGACTGAAAAAAAAAAAAAAGGACAGATAAAGCACTGGTTTAGGTAACACCAATCCTGAGATGTTAAGCTAGTTAGAAAAAATGAGTCTTCTCCACCACTCAAATAACTGGTCTCTTTCCTTAGCTCTCACAATGTGATGAACCTAATGCACTCAGCACTAGCAAAAGGTCTATAGCTCATCAGCTGTCTCCATCGCTAGGCTTCTCAATATCCCAGCACTGTATATCTGGAACCTAACTGTTGTTGCCACAAACCACACCAGATGTGCTCTGCCACACATTTCTGTAGGGATGAGACCAAGTTACTAAAAAGGTGTTAACCTTCAAGGTCAGAAATAGATCAAACCCCACATGAGGTTCTACAGTGCCCTCTTGTGTTCAACTGAAGAAAAAATTCTGCATCCAAGCAGCATCAAGAAGATGGTTAGTCCCTTCAAGAATGTAGCACTCCCAAGGCAATTAGCCCAAGTGATAAGAGCACTCAGGTGAGGTGTCATATCCCCAAAAAATGCTTGCTGCACACTCATATCCTAAATGATTGCTGAGAGGACACCATTTAAGTCCATCAGGAAGTTAGATAGAAAATAAAGATTCCCAACAAAGACTTATGAAAGCTTTTAACCCAAGAAATGGATAATGTAGATGGACTTACTCTTTTGATGTACACAGCAGATACATAATCTGTAGTGGTTTAGTGACCTGGAGTCCTAGAATCATACTAATCCAAATGAACCATGATCCCCAAAATTCTAGTCCACAAGCAATAAGTAGGAATCTTGCTCAGCACTGCTAGGTGCTAGCAAACATTTAATGTTAACCAGCAGCATGCCTGAAAGGTTAAGACCGTGTCACTCCCATTTATAGATGTGGACCATCTTCTCTGTTAAGGTAGCCAAGTAGTTGTTATGATTCACCTCAAATGGGCAGATGTCCAAGACCGGCTGATCGGCTTGCAGGTCCTGCAGCAACAAGCCACTGCCAGCATCCCACAGCTAAAGAAGACAAGCAGAGAAAAGGTCAGAAGTCAGTCAGTTCAGCTGGTGGATCTGCTTTATCATCAGATAATTTTTTTTTTTTTTTTAAAGATGACCGGTAAGGGGATCTTAACCTTTGACTTGGTGTTGTCAGCACCACACTCTCCCAAGTGAGCTAACGGGCCATCCCTATATAGGGATCTGAACCCGTGGCCTTGGTGTTATTAGCACCGCACTCTCCCAAGTGAGCCACAGGCTGGCCCTGAACTGTCTATTCTTCCTATGATTCATCATCCTCTAGCAACATTCCTTTTATATTCAAGGAATCCTATTGACAGGGTCAACATGACAGAATAGGAGAGTCTGAAAGTAACTTCCATAGCCCATGTATGTTTACATCAAAACTGAGAAGCGAAACTTCAAAATAAGGCCAAAACCAGACTGGATGAGAACAGAAAGAAAAAAATCAAAATAAAGTTTAAAAACTGACTTTTATAAAGGAAAGACCTATTTTTAAAAAACAAATTCTAACAAATAACGTTAGAAACACATGGGGAAGGAATGTCAATGTTTATTGAATAATCACAAATTATCAGGTAATATTAGTTACTTTACATATTTATTTTCATAATAACCTTAAGAAGACATTGGTGTTATTGTCTAATAACGAGGTAATATTATTGGAAATTTATTTAGCTTTCTCAAGATTCTGTCAGTATGACAGAAATGATATAACAGCAATCAAATTCAAGCGAGATATTAATGATTCTAAAGCCCATGCTAATAGTTTACGTGAAAAAAAAAAAAAGAGATGTAAATAAAACTATATACATGTGGTGGTGGTATGTGTGATCTAGAGGGTGGCTATATAGACCTGGCACTTTGAGGTGCTTTCTCATTCATTTTCTTTTTTTTCAAAAGATGACCGGTAAGGGGATCTTAACCCTTGACTTGGTGTTGTCAGCACCACGCTCAGCCAGTGAGCAAACCGGCCATCCCTATATAGGATCCGAACCCGTGACCTTGGTGTTATCAGCACCGCACTCTCCTGAGTGAGCCACAGGCCGGCCCTCTCATTCATTTTCTAATTTAATTGACAATAATCCACACTCTCCCAAGTGAGCTAACTGGCCATCCCTATATAGGGATCCGAACCCATGGCCTTGGTGTTATCAGCACCACACTCTCCCAAGTGAGCCATGGGCTTGCCCTTACCTACCAACATTTTACACAAAAGTACCTTTATACAAAACAAAAATAATATGCTCACCAGAGCAGAATTTGATGCTTCATCCCCAGTGCACACCAGGACACTGCCATCATTCTCTGGGCTTTGGAAAATGGCACTTTTGGTCAGTAGTTTGCAAGTGGGTCCCCCAAGGAATGTCTGTACAGGATGGCAAGAGCAGACTGGCTCTCCAGCATCATCCAGCCTGTAGGACATCTCCATCAGCATACTTCGCGTGGTGTTATGGTTTTTATCTACGGGACAGAGAAATCAGTGCTGCTGCATGGGGATGGTACAAAAGAAATTAACCAAGTACCTGAACCTCATACATTTACAATGTAGTTGGGTGGTGATAGAGTTTGGATGTGTTGTCCCCGCCAACTCATATGGAAATCTGATCCCAGCTAGGAACTGTTTGAGCCATAGGGGCGGATCCCTCATGAATGGATGAGAGAAGGGGGCCTGAGTGAGACCTTGCTCTATTAGTTCCTGCAAGAACTGGTTGTTTAAAAGACCCTGGCACCTCTCCTCTATCTCTCTTGCTTCCTCTCACCATGTGATCTGCTTGTACCCGCTGGTTGCCTGCCACTTTCCGCCATGAGTAGAAGCAGCCTGAGGCCTGCACCAGACACAGCTGTCCCAGAATTGTAAGCCAAATAAACCACTGTTCTTTATAAATTACCTGGTGTCAGGCATTCTGTTATAGCAACACAAAACAGACTAAGACAGGTAGAAAAGCCAAGAGTATTAAACCATCAAGAATAGCTACAAAGCAAATACGATAGCAAAAATAAAACAAGTACTATGAAATTCAGAACCCTAGGCTAGAATAAAGCAAGTTTTTTTCCATAAATTTTCATCTACCAGAGAAACAATTCTAAGAATGAGCTATCCTCTTTAGCAAAAAACACTATATTCTGCCAGACCTCTGCTTGGGGATTTTTTTCTCAAGAGTTCTGACCTTTTTTTTCCTTCCCCCAGTGAGGACCCCTTAGCCCCTGGGTTTGTACATTTTTACAAAGTGAAAGCATGCTATTACAGAAGGGGAAACATGTACCTGAGGTTCTGCTGGAAGGTAAACCAAAGCTACAAAATGGGACCCCTAAGCTTTCTACACAAGTCCCAGCAAATCACAGTCTTGGAAACAGCAGACCTGTGGGTCTCGGACTAAGTGCCAAAAGGTTCAGAAGAGCCAGCTGAGAATTTCCAAACACAAACAAAACTTACAGATCTACCTATAGATCTACCTACAATGACCACAAGTGTGGGCATTTTTAACGACTATTTCTGACCAAACATCTGCTGGACTATCATAAACTTGTTTAATATAGCTGCTGCCTCAGCAGCCAAATTTAGGCCTGACATAAGTTTTTTGAAACCCAGATGTATCCTGCCACCTTTAGCCTAGTTAAAACTTACCCTCCCCATGTGATTGTTTACAATATAGATTTTGTTCCTAATCCCACTGAACCAAAACCCAACATACCCTAATATTGCTGACAATGCTAAAATCCAATGGCCAACACCAAAGTCATCTAAATAAGTTCCCTGCTTTGGGCATGTTTTCTTTGAACTAGCCAATCCATACCCCCAAGGTAAAGCCTAAGGGATAAAGCCCATGGACCTTCATAAAGGCACAGGCCCACAGATCCCCTGTCTCTCTGTCTTCCCACCTGCAGACTGAGCATGCACGTCCCAGACAGCACCCCTTCTTTCTATTGGCCCCGCAGGGTGTGCTGCTCTCTTCTCTCTGGAATCTGTAAATGATAAAAACTGTTTCTATTATATCATGTGCTTTGCTGAGTTGCCTCCTCCGTGTCTCACCTGACTCCTGGTCAGGTCTCCTAGAGAGTGGTTATCTTGGTAGGAATAAATTGGACACAAGTCAGACTAGAGCCACTAGTGCCTGATAGTATAAACAGGTTTCCTGTGAGAGGGACACCTGGTCACAGGTTAGACACTTAGGAATTAGGCCACCTACCAGGATAAAGAAGTATCCTATGAAAGACACACTATAAACATCCACGACTGAATCCTTGGAGCACAATCAGGACAAGGCTACAGTTTATAGCCACTCTCCTGAGAGACCTCAAGACCAAATAAGAAGAAAAAAATCTACAACGCTGACCATCAATATGGTTCATCAGGAATTTAGATTCATGCCTTTCAGGCCAGAAAGAACCTGTGAATTTAAGCATAGTCAGCTGTCAGGGGTTCTACCCAGGGATCTACCAGGCAGTGAATTTCAGCAGGCTACACCCTTACAACCATGGTTGTCCATTTCTATTTACCTTTGTTGGCCCCAAGTAAGAAGGAATAACTAATACCCTAGTCTGAACATTACATGGCTGCCTTCATTTAGGCCTTTCTCTTAGGTAGAGCGAGGGGCAGGCAGAAGACATGAAACTGATCTGAAGGTGGCTCAATGGCCTCAAGAGCAGGCCTCCTCATTCCACTACTGTTTAAGTTGTGGGCACTCCAAAAGGGGCTAATTCACTTCCAGGGAGGACCTGGCAGAATGTGCTCAAGTTCTCACATGTAAGGAGCAGGCAGGCTCTATGGAAGAAATGGAGCCACCATCCTCACTATAGTAGGAAGAGTGGCAACATAACTTGTTAGCCTGTGAGGGGTTTACCATGGCCACTCCCAGGGAAGGGCCAAATTCTCCTCTCCCTTCTACTAATCTGCTCCCACACAAACCATAGGTGGCCCCATGAGGACACCCCGATGCTCACCAGGCCTGTAGGTCACAAGACAGTGCCGAGTGGTGCTCTCCGTCTGAAAGTCTATGCAGCCCCCTGGCTCCAAAGGCAGCACGTGGGGCCAATGAGAAAAGCCCACTTTCAGCTCCCAGAAGGAAGCATTCTCCAAGGTTCCAGCCAGCACCCCACCATATGGAAATGCAGCTGAGGCAGCTCTGGGTATGTATGACAGGGATACCAGTGGGCACCTGAAGGGAAAGAAAGAAAACTCTGCCTCACACTCCAATACTTGGACTTCTTCAGATTCTACCACCAGGAGATCTCAAGTACATTCCTACCTCTACAAAAGAGGTTAAAGACTTGTGGGGTCACTATCCTCTGACATCTGACAAAAACTATCAACCCTTTCTTTTTTTGTCTTTTTTCGTGTCCGGCAACGGATCGCAACCCTCAGTGTCGAGCCCGTACCGGACTGGGACGGCAACGGGATCGCAACCCTCGGTGCTGCGCCCGCACCTCGCTCAGCCAGTGAGCGGGAACCGGTCTGTATATGGGATCCGAACCCTCGGCGGGAGTGCCACTGCGCTCCCAAGAGGTGCACTGTAGCAGTGCGCCACTGGGCCGCCCATCCCTTTCTGTAGAGACAAAAGAGCATACGTATAATATTCTGCACTTAATTACAGGGGGGACACCAGATGCTTTAAAAAAAAAAGAGTGGTCTCCTTAGGAAATTTAATGAATACAAGATCACAATTATCAGGAAGCCTGACTGGTGTGAAGCTTCTGGAAATGGGATTAGCCACACACACAAGAAAAGTCAGGAAGAAAATGTAGCTCATATATCTAATAAAATAAAGATTCCAAGCTGTTGTTAACAGACCCTGCAATTAAAACATACCCTAAAGAGGGGCCGGCCCGGTGGCGCACTGCTACAGTGCACCGCTTGGGAGCGTGGCGGCGCTCCCACCGAGGGTTCAGATCCCACATACAGATTGGCCGCTCACTGGCTGAGCGAGGTGCGGGTGCAACACCGAGGGTTGCGATCCTGTTGCCGGTCCCGGTCCGGTATGGGGGCGACACTGAGGGTTGCGATCCGTTGCCGGACACGGAAAAAGACCAAAAAAAAAAGGGGGGGGGGGGAAACATACCCTAAAGCAACTACATTTTAAATCAGTAATAGGATTGTTTCTTTAGATTTTCTAAATTTCTTTCTGAAAACATATGATCAGTGCTGTATGCCAAGAATCCTCTCAGAAATACCAGTGTGTAGACTATGTTCTTATGAACTTGTTTTTGCTGAAGTTGCCAAAGCAACTACTTTGCCCATTTTATTTCATTTTCCCTGTCACAATGAAGCTAACAAAAGTAAACTAAGATAAAAAAAGAACAATACCTACAAACATTCTTTCCTTGCTATTTTTAAACTTGTATTTTATTGTTTACTCTGAGTGGATCCCCCTACATCAGCAGTTACCTTGTTTGCCTGGAGTTCACATCAATCATTTTCATGCCCGTGGACCATGTCGCTGAAGCATGATTCCACCCCACCCAAACAAAAAAAACCCTGAAGTGTTGAGACTAGGTTTCCATAAATAATTACTACTGTAATTTGATTTCCCTATTCCTTTTAACATATATTTAAACTGAAAATGGAAATTCTCCTTTAAGATACTTTACATTTTGTTCAGGTCACAGACTCACTCTCCTTTTCAGAACTTTATACTGCCAGGGCAGTCCAAATGGTGCTCAACATTCTGAAGAGCACAGTGGTGTTGGTGGTCACCTACCTCAGAACTTAAGCTGACTTTACAAACTTCCCAATCCCTAACTGGATTGTAATGATAAATAATGGCAATACGATGCTGTCAAACCAAGTTGGTATAGCTCTGCTTAGGAGTTTTAAATCACTTTTTATTAGGCTACCCTTTACTGATCTCTTCCTGTGTGCTAAACATGTGGCTATTAAAGCAAGCCCATGTTAACCATATTTTATAGATGAAGCTCACAAGTCAAGAAACACAGTCAAGGTCACACAGCTTGTAAGTAGAGGAACTGAGTTCTGAACACAGATCTACCTCTATTTTGCCATGGTGGAAAAACAGAACCTGGCTATACTTGGTATAGAAATTTCTGCCATGTGAAATATGACACAAACTCTAAGGATTTTACTGATTCTCGAGTAAGAATAGACCAGCGGATCTTAAGAGAACTGCCCTCTATGAGAAGTTCTGATCAATACTGAAACACTTTCTGAAGAGAGGATTAATATAATAACAATCCAAAAGAATGCTGCTACCTACAGGAAAAAAAGTAAGTGGCTCCCTACCTGGCTTTCTGAGGTACTAACTCCTGGATATGACAGCTTGTGTTTCTCAGGTCATACACCAGAATTGAACCATTGGCCAGTCCAGCATAGATGTAATTGTTTTCATCAAGACACCAGCAACAACTCCAGACAGGACGTCCAGCATTGTAAGTCTGAACCACCGTATTGGTCTCCAGGCTGTGGAGTCATAAGACTTTTACAATTGTGCATTAAGAAGACCAAATACATGACAAACATGTAAAGATTATCATTTACATGATCAATAATTCTTACTGAGAACACACCCACACACCCAAACTATCTGAATTCAATTTCCTCTAGGGGCTGCCCAGAAAACCCCTTTAAATTCCAAAACATTTGTGTAATGGGGGTGACAGGTTTTCCTCTTGAGCTATAAGGAAGTAAAAGGATCAGTTAAAGGGACATATAAACAGTATATTCCCCACTCTACTCCTTATTACCTTTCTCCATAGTTATCTGTTATACAGGTAATCAATATGCAATGTCAAAAAATGAGAAAATACATATAAGAAAATATAAATTAAAATCCAAACATCCAGAGGTAGTCATTACTAACACTTTGGTATTTAACATTTCCCCCCCTATTTTTAAGTAATACTTTGTTTTTTTTGGCTGCTGGCCAGTATGGGGATCCAAACCCTTGACCTTGGTGTTATTACACTGTGCTCCAACCAACTGAGCTAACCAGCCAGCGGAGCAATACTAAAAAAAAATAAAAATAAAAAAATAAAAATAAAAAAAATCCAAGACACAGCATATACACACGTATAAAATATAATGTTACACTGAGTTTATGGCCAAAATTAACCTGAAGCATGTTTGAAAAGTCAACGGGGTTATCAGACCTAATAGTCCTAGCAGTATGCCCTAGTTGGCTGCAGAAATTAAATAGGAAGCCAATTATTAGACATCTAATCAGAACTACTTTTTAAAAGATACAGGCATACAGCATACTCAGATTGAGTTCAGAGAATTTACAGAGCATGTGAAGGATAAAATGCTGTAACTAACTGAGGGTATGCAAGAAGTCATCATGGCATCCAACCAAGGACAGCTAGTGCCTGGTAAGCATTTTTGCTGGGCAGAATTATCCAGGTAATAGATCAAGGAATAAGCAGTACCAAGCTGGTGTGGCAACTCCATAGTGTCAGGTACCAGAGCTCCCTCCATATTGTCATTCCACCATTTCTAGAGTATTACTCTCCTCTGCACGGTTTAAAATATACTTTGTAACATACATAATTTTAAAGAAATGGAATATTACACATACAGTTTTATAACCAGCTGTATCCACTTTTAAAAGCAACCCATTGTTGTGTTTTTTGGGGGGCTACTGGCTGATATAGGGATCCAAACCCTTGACCTTTGTGTTATCAAATACAGCACTCTAACCAACAGAGCTAACAGGCCAGCCCTAAAGAAAACGTATTTTTTTTTTTAAAGATGACCGACAAGGGGATCTTAACCCTTGACTTGGTGTTCTCAGCACCATGCTCTCCCAAGTGAGCGAACCGGCCATCCCTATATAGGGATCTGAACCCATGGCCTTGGTGTTATCAACACCACACTCTCCCAAGTAAGCCACGGGCTGGCCCCTAAAGAAATGGATTTTAAGGGCAGGCCAGTTAGCTCAGTTTGTTAGAATGTGGTGCTGATACCACCACGGTCCAAGGTCCAGGGTTCAATCCCTGTACTGGCCAGCTCCCACCCCCCATAAAAAATTTTAAATGGACCTCAGAAGATAATGCCTCAGACCAAAAAAGAGAGAGAAGGTCATCATAACACTGTTACTCAATGTTGTTCAATACCAAGCAGCCCAGGCCCATATTGCCCTCCAAAGTACTAACCTGGTCAGTTTAACAGTGTTGTCCAGGGAAGCAGAGAGCAGCAAGCTTTTGGACCGACTGCTGAAAGCCAGTCCACGGATCTGTTTGCCATGCATTGGAATGTACTGACTGCTTTTCATGTTGGCAGTACTCAACATCTTAACACCAAAGCCTGCCAAAGGTAAGAGAGCATGAAACAGATCACTGAAAGTCAATTTAGGGCAAAGCAAACTTTCTTTTCAAATAGCTCCTTTCTTCACCTTTCTTGGCATGTTAGTCCCTGGGAAACAGCTGGTCAAACAAAGAAAAATTCCCGTGTTATAATTTATTTTAAAAAAGTATAATCCATTCCAAATGTCCATCAACCGATGAATAGATAAACACACTGTATATACATACAATGGAATGTTACCCGGCAATAAAAAGGAATGAACTATTGATATATACAATAGTATAGATGAATCTCAAATTACGATGAGAGAAAGAAGTCACACAAAAAAGTAATACTGTATAATTCCATTTATATAAAATTCCAGAAATTGCAAATTAATCTACAGTGACAAAGATGAGTGGTTGCCTGGGGATAGGAAGAGGAGGAAATGACAGGTGGAAGAGATTATAAAAGGCCATAAGAAAATTTATGGGACGATAAATATGTTCATTATCTTGATTGTAGTGATGGTTTCAGAGGATGTCAAAACTCATCAAATTCTAACTTTAAATATGTATAGTTTATTGTATGTCAATTACACTTCAATAAAGCTGTTGAGAGAGAGAGAGAGAGAGAGAGAGAGAGATGAGAGATATTCAGAACCTTCTACCTAAACCACAGAAACTCAAGATACAGAAGGGACAGAGAGCAATAAAGGAAAGTAATTTCTACGTCAGTGGTCAAGATATGCTACAGCTGTCTAAAAAAGAATAAAGAGATGACATCTCAAGTATCCAACCAATGCCTAACATTCCCGGAGAGGAAAAAAACCAAAAACTTGTCCTTTTTAATTTATTTGCATCTCTGTCCTTTTACTAGGATATGATAAAAGATTTATTTTTACTAAGTATCTATTATCATCTGAGTTATACAAAAAACGGAATTTGTTAAGTCCTAGATTCAAGATAGCCTTAAATCACACTTTAGCTTCTCTGGGGAACCAAATGGGAGTAAGTTTATTGTGTTTTCTCCTGAAACAAAATTAGAAAAGCCAGAGAGACAAACACGGAGACTACAGGCTTTAAATCAACAAGGGAATGTGAATACATGCCTAGTTAATCCTTAAGGAGAATAAAGACAAGTTAGCACCAACAGGCTATCAAATAGAGCTGGTTGTACAAACTGAAATAGATACATTAATTAAAAAGGAACAGAACACATACCCAATTTGGGCAATATTAGAAGAAATAGAGTCTTTTTCTAATTTGTGGGGAAGGTTTTATTTGATGATAAACTTTTTATTAAAAACTTAGAAGGAGCTGGCTGGTTAGCTCAGTCGGTTAGAATGTTATATCACCAAAGTCAAGGATTTAGATCCCTGTACTGGCAGCCACCCAAAAATAAAACAAAAAACCCCCAAAAACAAAAAAACCACAAAAACTTAGATGAGGGCTGGCCAGTCAGTTCAGTTGGTTAATGTGTGGTATCCAGTGTTTGATCCCTGTACCAGCCAAAAAAACCCCCAACAACAATAACAAAAAACACAGATTAAAAAAAAACTTAGATGGGATAAAGGAACATTATAAACAATGCTTTTACTTCCTTCAATTGAAGGCTCCTAGCCTGTCAACTCATAGCTAATATCAGTTAACAGAAACATGATAACCTAGGGATTCCACTCCCAATCTTATACATACCTAAGATAGGGGACATAGGTTTGAAGCATTTGAATGGAACTTCTAAGTGGAGAAACAGAGAAAATCAGGCTGAAGCAAAGGCACCTCACAGCTGATAGAAATCATATGCTGAAAACAGTAGAAACAAACATCTGTACCATTTAGGAATGATATAATTGGGCTTGTGAAGAGATTTGGTTTTCAACGCTAAAATAAAATAAAATTAAGCTTAAAAAGCACAAAATAGTTGAGAGAAAATTAGTACAGTATTAACAAAATAATCAATGTGGTCCCAAATTCACTTATTTGGAATTTGTCAATTTGAACACTATTGAAAACAAGTATTAAATTTTGCTTCAACTTAAATTAGCTCTTGGGGTAACGTTTTGGCAAACGTTTCCAATCTAAAATGAATCTGTAAGTTGAATGGGACAAACAGGGAGTGATGTCGTTGAACTACACCAGTAACCTACACTTCCAAGTACCTCACGTTCTCCCACTTTACCTTGGTTATAAGTATTTCTACCCTTTAGATAGGACAAATTTACAGAATGAAGTCAACAGACACTAAAGACATTTTGCAGCACCCCAAATTTCCTGCATAATACGGAAATGACAGGAAAAGGTGACTTGGTGGGCTATGATCAGTGTTCACCCACTACTGAGTCCTCAATTCTTCAAAAAGGGGGAGGAGTCCAGTAATAATAAATAATAACAGAGTCCAATAATGAACATGAAAGTTGAGATTCTGGATTATTTACCTGGAAGGAAGGAGGCCTGAGGAGAAGGCTGTGATACCACCAGGCAGGTGAGAGCATCACAGTATGCCATGATTCGGCAGTTTCCTGTCTGAGATACTGTGATGGTCTTCTGAAACTGGTATTTGTGCTGGCTTTGGCTGGGTAGCAGACAGCTCAGGAAACGTGCTTGAGAGCCCATAGGTTGCTGTAAAATCTGATCCTGATGCTGCAGAATAAGTTTTTTCAAGTCCTAAAATGAAAAAGATTTTGTAAATGCAAAGCTTTTTCATTTGATATCCCCCCTCAAGCACAATTCATTGATCTGATACAAGAAGATTTCTTATCCATTATATGAAAATGTTAACATAAATCCTAGAGAACTGCTGAATTATTACAGTATTTCAACAAAGCAACTGAAAAAAAGAGCACAGAATCATAAAATATTAGGGTTGAAAGTCCTTAATGGTCATTTATTCTTTTTTTTTTCCTTTTTGTCTTTTTTCGTGACCGGCAACGGATCGCAACCCTCAGTGTCGCGCCCGTACTGGACCGGGACCGGCAACGGGATCGCAACCCTCAGTGTTGCGCCCACACCTCGCTCAGCCAGTGAGCGGCCGGTCTGTATGTGGGATCCGAACCCTCGGCGGGAGCGCCGCCACGCTCCCAAGCGGCGCACTGTAGCAGTGCGCCACCGGGCCGGCCCAATGGTCATTTATTCTAAAGTCCTCATTTTATTGGTAGATTCAGGGAGGTAAAATGACTTAAGCAAGTTTAGAATTCTCAGCTAGCTGCTTAATTTTTTCTAAAATTCAGATTGCAGTAGAAATCACCATACTGTGTAAATTTTGGACATATGCCCTAATCAGAAATAAAATAATCACGTTTACTTCTTAAACAACTTGGCAAATCCTACTTGTATCTGAGATGAACCTAAGTAACATTTAGATTTCTCTTCAATTCCTATTCCAAAAGTTCTTCAGGTTAGAAAGGGCAAACTTACCAGGACACGATTATGGAGTTTAGTGCATTCATGAGTGAGGACCTGAAGTCGGAGCCGGCACTGTGCCGATTCCAACTCCGCTTGTTTCCTTAGCATCTGCTCCTTCAGTAAGGAACTAGAGGGGAAAGCCAGCGATAGGGGGGGATTAGGAAGGCACAGAAGACTTCCCATCAAGATGGCATTGTGTGACAAGACAGGTTGATTTAGCTTATGCCATTTTTACTGTTTGAAAAGTGTTTTTTGTTTGAACCGCCCCCCCAACGAGCATCCCTAGTAGAAATTAGAAGTTAAAAATTATCCTGTACTTGGAAAATTTTTTTTTTTCCTTTTTTGTCTTTTTTACTTGACCGGTAACAGGATCGCAACCCTCGGTGTTGCGCCCGTACCGGGGACCGGCAACGGGATCGCAACCGCACCACGCTCAGCCAGTGAGCGGGAACCGGTCTCCACATGGGATCCAAACCCTCCTCGGTGGGAGCGCCACCACGCTCCCAAGCGGCGCACTCTCCAGTGCGCCACCTGGCCGGCCCTACTTGGAAAAATTTTAAATCCCGCCTGCCTTTGCTGTTTCCTGCCTATGCTGTTCCTGGCTGATAAAACCAAGAGCTGTATGCAGATGTATCCAGACAACCTATGGAGGAAACTGCCCTGGGGAAGTTCTTGCGGTCCCTGAGTGATTAACTGACTTATCTTGGCTTCTGTAACCAGCTTGTGCTAGGCCTCGCCAAACCCCCTCCCTCCTCACACCAGGAAGAAATATGTGTGACTATAGGATAATTTTTTTTTTTTTTAAAAGATGACCGGTAAGGGGATCTTAACCCTTGACTTGGTGTTGTCAGCACCACGCTCACCCAGTGAGCGAACTGGCCATCCCTATATGGGATCCGAACCCGTGGCCCTGGTGCCATCAGCACCGCACTCTCCCGAGTGAGCCACAGGCTGGCCCAGACTATATGATAATTTTAAGTGTGTGGGGCCGGCCCGGTGACGCACTGGATAGTGCGCCGCTTGGGAAGTGCGGCGGCGCTCCCGCCCGAGGGTTCGGATCCCACATACAGACCAGTTCCCGCTCACTGGCTGAGTGAGGTGCGGGAGCAACACCGAGGGTTGCGATCCCGTTGCCGATCCCGGTCTGGTACGGGGGCGACACTGAGGGTTGCGATCCGTTGCCGGACACGGAAAAAGACAAAAAAAAAAAAAAAATTTTAAGTGTGTGACTAAATGATAACTTTGATTATGTGACTATATGATTTTTTTTGCCTGTGTGACTATGTGACTTTTTGCCTTCAAAAGGCCCCTCAAACTTAGACTTGGGGCTGCTCTCTTACCAGAATATCTGGAGAGACAGTCACCGGCCGGCTAATTAATATCCCCTTCTTAAATTCTCAATTGGGTGTTCTGGTTCCTTTTCCGTGCGACAGCCTCACAACAATTGTAAGTTCACACCATTATACACACACTTTGCTATAAATATGTCATGACAGTGAATAAACTATACAAAGAGAAAATGCTCTCAAGTCCAGAAACATTACAGAAGAGTAGCACACAGGGTTGAACTCATGAACCTACTGGGCTTTGGTGTTAAAGCAGGCAGTCTGACTCCTACTAGGAAATGGGGACTAAAAATGCCATAGGCAAAAGGAGGGAACAGAGCCAACTCGCTGCTTTCTTTTTTTGTGGCAGCTGGCTGGAACAGAAATTGAACCCTGGACCTTGGTTTTATCAGCACCATGGTCTAACCAACTGAGCTACCCAGACAGCCCCCAACTCACTGCTTGAGCTAAGGTAAATTATAAAAGATTAAACTGACATGTTAAAAGACGAATGTTAGGGCTGGCCCAGTGGCGCACTGTTATAGTGCACCGCTTGGGAGCGTGGTGGCGCTCCCGCCGAGGGTTCAGATCCCACATACAGACCGGTTCCCACTGACTGGCTGAACAAGGCGTGGGAGCAACACCGAGGGTTGCGATCCCGTTGCCGGTCCCGGTCCGGTACGGGGGCAACACTGAGGGTTGCGATCCGTTGCCGGACACGGAAAAAGACAAAAAAAGGAAAAAAAAAAAAAAAAGACGAATGTTATCTACTGGATTAAAATAATAAACTGTCAATTGTTCATCAGATATTCAAGTAATACCACAAAAGAAGAAGGCTGAAGTTAAAAAGGCAAAAAGTATATACCAAGCAAATGCTAACAAAAGAAAAACCAATTAGAACTAAGGCAAAAAGCATAAGTAGGCATAAAGAACAATGTATAAAAAAGCACACGCTCACCAAGAATAACAATCATAAATTAGTATGCACCTAAAAACAGTTTCAAAATATGAAATGCAAAGGCAGAATTCCACTCCAATGAGACAGGGAAGAAAAAGGTACGAAAATTGAAAAGAGATAAAGCTGGCCTATTTTTATTTTTATGAAAAATTCAAGAAAACTCACAGTATAGGAAAGTTGACAGAATCAAGACCAAGTAAATTAGATCACTAGCATTCCCCATATACCAGAAAATTGATTAGTAAATATAATAGAAAAAAATTCACTCACAACAGTAATTTTAACAATAGCCACCTAGGAATAAAGTTAAAGGATATGAGAGACCTTTACGAAGCAAAGTACATTGGTGAAAGACACAAGAAAATAGTGAATAGATAGAAGGATATTTATTATATAATGTTCATGGCTGGAAAGACTCACTATCACAAAGATGACACTTTTCAAATACTCTATAAATTTAATGCAATTTCAATCAAGATCCCAGAGGATTTTTCATGAAACATATTAATATGGAAGAGTAATTGCCAAGAAAAGCAAAAGACAGTTTTGAAGAACAAGTGAAAGGACATATTTTAAAGCTACAAAAAAATTATAAGTTGGAATACTGGACTGAGAATTAACAGACCATGGAACAAGAGTAATTTGCTCATATATGAAAACTTAATTTAGGATAGAGACAGCAATGAAAATTTGTACAGAAAGAACATGTCATTTAGTAAATTATGCTATAACGATTGGTTACTATAAAACCAGATTTCAAGAATTAAGAACACGTGTGAAAATCAAAACTTTTACAGACCTTTAGAAGACATTATGCCTTTATGACCTCGAAGTAGTAGAGACAAAAAAGTACAAAACAAGAGATTGATAAATTCGACTGCATTAAAATAAAAAAAAAAAAAAAACAAAAAACTCGTACTTAACAAAAGATAGCTTAAACAAGTAAAAGAGACAAGCTACAAACTGGGAGATGAAATCTGCAAAGTATACAACCAACAAAAAATTAGTATAAACAAAGAATTCTTATAAATCAGTCAGAAACAAACAAACCAATATAAATGAGCAAAAGATATGAATACAATTCATAGAAGAGTATGTTCAACCTCAATAGTAATTAAGGTAATGCAAACTAAAGTCAAATACTACTTTACCCCATGAGACTGGCAAAAATTAAGTCTGACAATATAAAGTGGGTAAGGGTATGAAAAAAATGAGAAACCTCTTATACTGCTGCTGGCAGAAGTATAAAGTGAAACAGCAATCTGATATAAATCTAGTGAAGTTGCAATTACATGTACCCTACAATAAAGCAACACTGTTGCTAGACCTAAAGAAACTCTCACCTGTTACTTTACAAAACAAAAACTGGAAACCACCAAACTATCCATCAACACAAAAAACATACAGATAAATTCTGATTAGAGAGCTAGAATACTATACAGAAATTGAAATGAATAAACTGGAGCTATATGTATCAACGAGGATGTTCCCAAAACATAGTATAAAACAAAAAAAAGCAAGCTACAAGAAGGAAAATTATAATCCAATATAACATTTGCATAAAGGATAAAAACTTCCTATACATAACATGTGACTTATGGATACATTTGTAGCCAAATATATAATCATTCTTGGTAATAATGAACACCTAGTTTATGAAAGTGGTTAACCCTGGAGAAAGAGAAAGAACTAAGAAGAACTTAGTTCACAATGAAGCTTCTGCTGTACCTATAATGATTTATTTCTTTATAAAAAGGCCTAAAATAAATACGGAAAAATGTTATAATCTGATAAAGTTAGGTACAAAGGTGTTCATTTTATTAGCCTTTATTTACTGGTATTTTGAAAACTTTCACTTTTTCTAAGGAGGATAAAGAACATACCGATTGATTATAATATTGTAATCAGTGAATTGTTAATCACCCATTAATAGCCATACCTTTAGATTTTGCTTTTTCAGCAAAATTCCCCTTCTACAAATCTGTCATTTAGAAATGCTACAAATAATTATTTGTTGGAGCAAATGAGTAAATATAAATGAGAAAAATTAAAATCATCTGTACAGTGACTACCTGTAGCCAAAAATGCAATCATACTAATAATGTGCTTTCCCATGGCAATATATTATGTGCACTTCAACATCAGTTTTTTTTTTTTAAAAAAGATGACCGGTAAGGGGATCTTAACCCTTGACTTGGGTGTTGTCAGCACCACGGTCACCCAGTGAGCAACCGGCCATCCCTATACGGGATCTGAACCTGTGGCCTTGGTGTTATCAGCACCACCCTCTCCCGAGTGAGCCATGGGCTGGCCCTCAACATCAGTTTTAATGAATGCAGAGTATACCATCACATGGATATGCCACTGTTCACTCAACCAATTAATCCTCTTGGCTTGGATTATTAATAATGCTAAATGAAGTTTAAGTAAATCTTTGCACACATCCTTAATCGTTTTAGAATAAATGCCGGAAGTAGAATTATTACATCAAAGGCTTTTAAAAGCTTTTGAAATATATTGCCAACCAGTAAAGCATGAGAGAATTCATGTTTCTGCAAGTCTCTCAAAGGCGGGTATTTGTATTCTTTAATGTTCTTAAGTCAATTTTAAATAGTGTTATTAGCAATCATTCATGGGCTTCCAAAATCTTGATAATTTTTTTGCACTGCACTGCATGTGCAAAGCTTCACTTATGAGTCTTCTGTATAGAGAACTGCTGAAGGGGAGCTTAGGGACACAAGAAGTAAAATGTTAAGTAATATGCCAGATCTTCATTTTTAGTGCTGTATGGAGAGCAAGCCATGCAGACTTCCTTCAGAAGATGACTAGATATGTATTATAAATCACAATATGAGACATTGCCACTGATTCCCAGATATCCTAAGTCACAAGTCAAATAAAGCCTTAGAACCATAAGAGTGACTCATACCTCCTTTTTCAGATGTGCCAACAAGCAACCAAGAGGAACATTCCAGCTAGGCACACTCTCACCACCTACCTTTTCATGCGCTCCTGTTCACTAGTGTCCAAAGCTCTCAGGGCTCGGGCATAAAGGACAACAATGTCACTATGCTTGGCTTTCTTGTTGCACTAAAAAGCCCAAAGGGACACAATTAATGTGGTTCTAGAAATTCTTCTGACTTAATATGTTGGGTCCCTACTTATGGTCCTTACCTGGGGACATTTTCGTGCTTGTCCTTTAAGCCACTTAGAAATGCACCTATACCCAAAGAGGTGCCCACAGCGTAATGCTGAGAGTCGGTGGTCCCCAGCATTGGTCCACTGCTCTAAACATATACTGCAAGTGTTCCCTTCTTCTTCATCCACAGAAGCAGAAGTTAGAAGAGGGCTGGACTTCTGTGGAGACTGCAAGGTGGAAACCAAAATACAATCAAATTAGAGAACACACAAAATCAGTTAAGAGGATGTGCAGTGGAAACAAATGAACAAAAGTGCACAAAAATGATACAAACCTAATTAAAAGGCTGCAAGAAAAACTGCAACACCTACGAATCACTTGTCATTCTTTCTAGAATGCAATGTGGCAAATTGTAATACAAGCCATGAAAATAATACTACTCTTTGATCTTATGAAATTAGTGGATATATTTTTCTTTATTCAAATAAAGAAAAGCAGCTATTTATACAAAGATACAAAACAAAATCCTAGCAAATACCAAGACAACCCCAACAGGGAATAGTAGGTTTGTTACACATTCAAAATTAGGTTCATTATCAACTCAAGTAGTTAAAAAATATTTAGCTCACATGAATCAGAGAAAAAAACAAACAGGAAAACAAAGAAAGGATATAACCAGTTAGCTTGCAAAAAATACTCAATGGCGGCTGGCCAGTTAGCTTGGCTGGTTAGAGCACGAACTTATAAAACCCAGGTCAAGGTTCATTCAGTTCCCTGTACCAGCCAGCTGCCAAAACACAAAACAAAACAAAACAAAAACCGAAAAACACTGGTCAATAAGTGTTTGCTTAGAAGTAAAGAAATGCAAATTAAGAGACCATTTTTTCCATCTAATTAGATTGGTATAAATTGTTGTTGATGACACCAAGCACTGTTGAGGGAGAAACAGACTTGCTTACAGACTATTGCTGTAGGTATAAAGTGGCACAAATTTCTGGAGGGCAATTTGGTAATACCTGTCAAAATTAAAACACATATATTTTTCTTTGAGATAGCAATTTCTCTGCTAGAAATATACTCCATGGATATAGTCACAAATATTTACAAAGACAATTATACAAGGACGTTCAGTGCAGCATGATTTACATCAGGGTTAAAAAAAGAGGAAACAACCATGGTGTACATAACAAGGGAAGAGTTGACTAAAAATTTATTCGTCTGATGGAACACTATGCAGCTAATAAGAAACTTTATGTACTCATAATAGAAAGTTCTCCAAGATGTAATTGGCTGTGTAAAAAAAGAGCCAGACTCAGAACAAGGTAGAGTATAACCCCTTTTATGTAAATTTTAAAAAGAACATTTATACATATAAATAGATTTACATGTACATAAAATTCTTCCAGATGAAAGAAATAAAAACATGGAGACCTATAGAAACATGCAAAAAGTAGATAAATGATGTTTTCAGATTGGCAGAATTCACAGCAGATATAAATGTCTCATATCAAGGACAATGATGTATAGGTGTTATTTTAAAAATAAAAATTGCTTATCACACAGTAATAATATTCTGCTTGATAGCTTATAAAACACATTCATATTTACTTTTTCAATTGATACTTGACCTTGTTAGGGAGGCAGGGCAGGTTATCCTCAAACCTGACCCTCCAACCTAAGAGGAAGCAGTCACAGAAATAATATGTAACTGGGATAGGCTCTATACCTGGACCTCTTGCCTACAAAGCCTGCAAGTCCCCCTTTCAAATGAAAACCCAAACCTTTTATTTAAAAGGATGTTCATATTACCTCTTTGGGGAGGGTTTCACCTCCACCAGTACATGTAACTTCTTGCTCTGCTGAGATACCTTCTTGTTGCTCTGCCAAGTCATTTCCAGGAATGATACAGGACAGGTAATACACAAAAGAAGACATAAGTCAGGTATGAGAAGCTAGCAAAGAAAGTCTGACTTATTACAGCTTTCCATTTCTAATTGGTAGTGTTCCTGCAAAAGGGATGACAATATGCCCAAGACACAGTGAATTTTTTTCTTTGATTTATTTTGGATATTCTCAAACACACATAAAACTAGGCAGAACAGTACAGTTAACCCACAAGGACCCATCACCCAATTTAGAAAATAATCAACATTTTGCCAATCTTGTTCCATCTAAGCCCCCATTCCACCATTTTGATTGGAATACTTAACAAACCCTAAAATGTCCTTACACTTGTAAAAATTTTTGCAACACTAACTGATAAGAATTCTTTTTATATAAACATGGTATCATTATTATGCCTAACAAAATTAACAATAATCCTTTAATACCATCTAACACCTAGACATCCAGTTCATATTAAAAATTTCCTTAGTTTTAAAGCTGCTCTTTACAGTGCATTTATTCCAACCAGAATGCTAAAAAGGTCTCCCCAATGAGCTTGACTATTACACCTCCTAAATCTTTTTCATTCTATTACAATTTTCCCTTACCCGTTTCCCCCGCCCTGCCTTGTCACTGATTTGTTGGAGAAATCTGGTCCTTTGCCTTATGAAATGTCCTACCACCCTGTATTTGGCTAATTGCTTCCTCATGAGATTATTTAACTTTTATATACAGTAATCTACAGCTTTGTAACCATCAGCACAATCCAATTTAAAACATTTTTGTCGGGCCGGCCCGTGGCTCACTCGGTAGAGTGTGGTGCTGATAACACCAAGGCCCCGGGTTCAGATCCCACATAGGGATGGCCGGTTCGCTCACTGGCTGAGCGTGGTGCTGACAACACCAAGTCAAGGGTTAAGATCCCCTTACCGGTCATCTTTAAAAAAAAAAAAAACATTTTTGTCACCCCAAAAAGATCTCTCATGACCAGAGTCACCTGCAGCCCTATGCAACCACTAGTCTTGTTTCCGCAGACTCATTTTTTCTGGACATTTTACATAAGTGGAATCAAAAACTATTTATGTTGAAGGCCGGCTCATAGCTCACTTGGGAGAGTGTGGTGCTGATAACACCAAGGCCACGGGTTTGGATTCCTATACAGGGATGGCCGGTTAGCTCACTTCAGAGAGCGTGGTGCTGACAACACCAAGTCAAGGGTTAAGATCCCCTTACCGGTCATGTTTGAAAACAAAAACAAAAACAAAAAAAACCTATTTATGCTGGTTTACTATTATACAAAACATTAAAAAAAAATTTTTTTTTTTTTGTCTTTTATCTTTTTTCCGTGTCCGGCAACGGATCGCAACCCTCAGTGTTGCCCCCGTACTGGACCGGGGACCGGCAACGGGATTGCAACCCTCGGTGTTGCTCCTGCACCTCGCTCAGCCAGTGAGCGGGAACCGGTCTATATGTGGGATCCGAACCCTCGGGCGGGAGCGCCGCCATGCTTCCCAAGTGGCGCACTTATCCAGTGCGCCACCGGGCTGGCCCTAAAAAAATTTTTTTTATGTAATGTTCTTTTATTGCTTCTAGGTTTCTAAGAATCCCTAACTTCTGAGTTTTAATCACTCATGTATTCTTCTAATACTAGAATGGTTTTACTTTTTACACTAGATCTCTGATCTACTTGTAATACATCCTAGTTTATGCTATGAAGAATAAGTCCAATTTTATTATATTCCAGTTGGCAAGAGAAAGTTCTGTACTATAAAACAGGAATCCATGACATTTCAGGGGAAAAGGGAAAGTATCAAAACACAAATCTAGTTTCTAGCTTTCTGAAGTCTAAGCTTTGCAGATGTTAGTCTTGTGAATCCAAACTGGATAAAAATACTCACCCCCTAAAATAACAGGTCCAGGTTCCTCTGCTTGGGCAACAACCTCTTCATACTCTGCAGAGCTGTCACTGTCAGAATCATAACTACTTAATACCTGCAAGTCTTCAGAGATAGGATTCCCAGTCTCTGAATCATTGGTGGCTGGCAAGTGAGGCTGGGTCCTGCTCACCTGAAAGTAAGCATCCAGTGGTGTTCTCAACCTATGTAGGCAGAAGGACAACAGAATTACAGTATAATGGACCATCATCACAAGAATAATCCAAGTGATATGAACGTAAATCCTAGTCATTTTAACCCATTTTCAGGCCATTAAATGCTGCCTCTGAAAGTTGAAGCAGGAATAGCAGATTTAAGCAGAGGCTGGTCAGCCTGCATATTGTCTTTTTCACTCAATCACTGCTACAGTAGGGGAGAGATTGGATAAGGAGCATAAAGAATAAATGATTTGTTTTTTTTTTTTTGTCTTTTTTCTGTGTCCGGCAATGGATCGCAACCCTCAGTGTTGCCCCCGTACCGGACCGGGGACCGGCAACGGGATCGCAACCCTCAGTGTTGCTCCCGTGCCTCGCTCAGCCAGTGAGCAGGAGCCGGTCTGTATGTGGGATCCGAACCCTCGGACGGGAGCGCCGCTGCGCTTCCCAAGCGGCGCACTATCCAGTGCGCCACCGGGCCGGCCCCAAGAATAAATGATTTGTAATAATATATATGCTAATAATATTGATTTGATCAACATATGTCAACATTGAAACCCCAAAATATGAATAATCAATGATTCAATAAATACAAATAAATAAATAAATAAATGCTATATTAGCCCACACTGGAGCTTGATTCTTCTGCTAAAAGCTAATTCTACTCTACTGGCCTTTGGTCATGTTTTGACATTTTTAAAAGACAATACTTGGCAATTTGTCTGCTGGTATTAGGGAGTCGAAAAGGGAGGGTGGGCAAGAAGAAAATGGGCATTGTTGCCCAAATATGGCCTCATGGGATTCTGCAACTGCAGCTACCCAGACCAAGGCCTTTTGTAGTCCAGTATGAAGTCTGGCTCCAGTCATCACTGTTTCACCTCTTGTTATAGGACAGTATTCTTTTAAAATTTAAATAATGTTGATTTAAGATAAAATACACAGTATAATATATATATATATATATATATATATATAAAAAGAAACCAAAACACCTTAGGATGAGAAGAGCTTGGGACCAGGCTTAACACTCCAAATCCATTCTGGCTGGCTGAGTTTTAACCATAACCAGTAATACACCTCAGTTTCCCTCACTTCTTTTTTTTTTTTTTTCGTGTCCGGCAACGCATCGCAACCCTCAGTGTCGTGCCCGTACCGGACCGGGACCGGCAACGGGATTGCAACCCTCGGCGCTGCGTCCACACCTCGCTCAGCCAGTGAGCGGGAACCGGTCTGTATGTGGGATCCGAACCCTCGGCGGGAGCGCCTCCGCGCTCCCAAGCGGCGCACTGTAGCAGTGCGCCACCGGGCCAGCCCAGTTTCCCTCACTTCTGGGATAACAAACCATGCCCCACTTATGTCACAGAATTAATGAAATTCTATATTGAAAAACAAAAGGATATTCTGAACTTTATAACACACTACCTAGCTAATAATTACTAAGTATTGTTGAAAGGTGTCCTACTTTAAGTTTTAATAACTTGGGCTGGCCAGTTAGCTCAGTTGGTTAGAGCGTGGTGCTAATGTCGAGGTCCAGGGTTCAACTCCTCTAATGGTGAGCTGCCAAAAAAAACTCCAAACAAACAACTCACAAAAGTTTTAACTGTCTTTCTGACATTAAGATATATTGATTATTACCCAGAAACACTGTTGTAGACCACTCACACAGAAAAATTTTGACTCCTAATAGCTTGGCTGCAATTTATGACAAAGTAGTGCTTTTTATTTTTAAAAAATGGAACAAATAAACATTACTTGGTATGCAATTCAATAGATTTGCCCACCCCCGCAAAAGAAATGTGAATAAACTGAGAAATAGCAATCAAGTTTTTTTTTTTTATGAAGTCCTGATGAGGTAGATCTTATGTCTGCCATTTTTGTTTCCTACATGTCCTGTCTTTTTTTTTGTTCCTCTATTCTTCCATTACTGCCTTCTACTGTACTATTTTAATTCTCTTGTCATTTTCTTTTTACTACATATTTTTAAGTTAGTAGTGGTTGCCCTTGGGATTACAGCGAACACCTTAATTTACAAACTACTTCAGATTAATACCGATTTATTTCAATATTATACCAAAACTTTGCTCCTAAATAGCGTCATTCCCTCCCCACTCTCTCTGTTGCCATACAAATTACACCTGACAATTATGTGCTAATCAACACATATTTATAGTTTTTTTTATGCCATTGCCTCCTAAATCAAAGAAAAAGTTATAAGCAAAAAATAAGTTTATATTGTATTTTATATTTACCTAAGTAGTTATCTTTATTTCTTCATGTGGATCTAATTTATGTCTGGTGTTCTTTAATTTCAGCATGATCAACTCTATTATCTTACATAAGGCAGGTCTCCTCTGAAGAAATCCTGTTTTTTCCTTTTTAAAATCCTGGAATACCTTAATTTCTCCCTCATTTTTTAAGGATAGTTTTGCTTAATACAGATTCTTGGTTGACAATTTTCTTTCAGTACAGTTGATCCTTGAATAATGTAGGGGTTGGAGTGTGGCTCTTCATGCAGTTGAAAAATCCACATATATTTTGACTCTCCAAAGCTTAACTATTAATACCCTGTAAACCAGAAGCCTTACCGATAACAAAAACAGTTGATTAGCACTAATTTGTATGTTATATGTATTATATGCTGTATTCTTGTAACAAAGTAAGGCAGAGAAAAGAAAATGTTAAGAAAATCATAAGAAAGAGAAAATACGGCTGGCCAATTAGCTCAGTTGGTTAGGGCATGGTGTAACACCAAGGTCAGGAGTTTGGATAGCCATACTGGCCAGCCACCAAAAAAAAAAAAAAAAAAAAAAAAAAAAAAGAAAATATATTTATAGTTCAAACCCATGTTGTTTAAGGGTCAATTTTACTTTTAATACAGCTGTCATCCAACTCCTTCTGACTTCCATGGTGACTAATGAAAAAATCGGGTGTTAATTTTATTGAGGATCCATTGCATATGATGTCATTTCTCTTGCCAGTTTCAAGATCCTCTTGTTTTCTGTGGCTTTGACAGTTTGATTATGATGTGTCCAGGTGTAGATCTCTTTGAGTTTAACCTAGAGTTCATTGAACTTCTTGGGTATGTAGATTAATGTTTTTCATGAAATGTGGGAAATTTTCGGTCATTATTTCATTTTTTTCTGCCCCTTCCTCTTTTTCCTCTCCTTTTGGGACTTATGTTTATGCATATGTTGGTATGTGCTATAGACTGGATGTCTCCCCAAACTCACTGAAGCTTGGTCCTCACTGTGACAGTATTAAGAGGGTAGGAAATCCTATTATGGTAATTGAGAGGTGGGGCCTAGAAGAGGTGATTAGATTGTGAGGACCATGCCCAAGTAAATGGATTAATCTACTGATGGTTTAATGGTGGTCATAGGTGGGTTCTGAGCACTTTAAAAGAAGGAGTGAGGAGTCAGCTCTCTCTTGCTTCTACCTTTCTTGCAATGTAATACGCTGTGTCACTGAAGTAACCACCAAAGAAGGCCCTCACCGTAAGAGTTGGGCTTCCCAGCCTTTGAACTGTAAGCAATAAATTTCATTTTCTTATAAACTACCCAGTTCCAGATATTTTGTTATAAGCAACAGAAACAGACTGATACAGTATGCTTAGTGATATTCATGAGTCCCTGTGGTTCTGTTCATTATTCTTCATTCTTTCTTCTTTCTGTACCTAGGTCCAATCATCTTCAACTGACCTTGAACTGATCTTCAAATTTGCTTCTTAATTCTTTAAGTCAATTCTCTTTTGCCTGCTTAAACCTGCTGTTTAGCCCTCTATCAATTTTTTTCATTTCAGTTGTTATATCTGTCAACTCCAGCATTTCCATTTTTATACTTTTTAATAATTTATACCTCTTTATTGAAATTGTGTATTTGATCACATTTTCATACTTTGCTTTAGTTCTTTGAATATATTTAAATAGCAGATTTAAAGTCTATCTAGTAATTTCAATGTCTTGGCATCTTCTGGGACAGTTTCTATTTTTTATCTTGTATATGTATCATACTTTCTTGTTTCTTTGCATGTCTTGAAATGTTTTCTTGAAACTGGACATTTCAAATAATAAAATATGGTAACTCTGGAAATCAGATTCTACCCCTCCCCAAGATTTGTTGCTATTTCTCATCACTGTTACTGTTTAGTGATTTTATGAAGTAACTCTGTAAAGTTTGTATTCTTTGTTGTGCATGTTCACTGAAGTCTTTGTTCAGTTAGCTTAGTGGTCAGTTTATGACTAGACAGAGATTTCCTTGAACACCTAGAACCAGTAAGTTCCCTAGTCTGTGCTGAGTGACTCTGTGTGTGTGGATCTGCCTTCAATAATCAGCCAGAGAAGTCACAACTCTGCCTTAGCCTTCACTTCCTACTTATGCAGAGCCTGAAGGTCACCCAGAGCTAAAAGCTTAGTGTCTTCTTAGGTTTTTGCTGACCATGGGCACAGCTGGTTACAGCCCTGGGCATGTGTGTGGCCTTCTAAATTCCCAGAAACATGTCAGAGGCTTTTCAAAACCAGTATAAATCTCTCATTCCCCAGCTTTTCCTTTTAACAATTTTTGGTTAGTCTATGGTTTGCCCCATTGATTATCCACTGCTCTCTGGCAGGCCCTGGGGAAAAGAATTTAGGCTTTTCACACCAGGCAAGCTCTGAGTCAGGGATAGCCTTGTAAGTGAGGGTCTTCCAGAAAACCAATAAACAGGTCACAAGAGAATTCTCTGGGAATGAGACTTTGAAGGAGATTCAATCCCATTATGTTCTGTCTGGTGGCTGCCAGGCTGCTGGTTTTCATTGTGATTGTGGCATCTGGTTTTCAAGGCTATCATGGAGCTGGAGAAGGGAATGGGAATAGGGAATGGCGCAAAGCTCACTGAGATTCAGCTGTTTTTCTTTAATAATCACTCCCTGGATTGCTATAAGCATTTGGTTAATTTCCAGAGTTCTGAAAAAGTTGATTCTGAAAAATTCTGCTAGTCCTTTCACTACTTTTATGGAGAGAATTTTCTGTGGTTCTTACTCTGCTATTTTCACCACTGACATTAACCCAGGTGTTTTTTTTTTTTTTTTTTTTTTTTTTTTTTTTTTTTTTTTTGCGAGGTGGCCTATACAAGGATCTGAACCCATGACCTTGGTGTTATAAGGCTGCATTCTAACCAACTGAGCTAACTGGCCAGGCTATTAGGTGTTCTTTTTAAAAAGATGCTAGGAAAGTCACCAACTTATTTTGGGGGACTGTGAGTAAATACCAGCTTTAGCTACCATGAGAATAAGTACATAAGAACATTTTAATCATGAAATACACACTAAAGTTAGGCTAATAGGCTAAAGTTAGGCTGTTGACATGTGTATCAATAGCATTCTGCATAGAAATCAGTAAAAAAAAATGCTTGATTATTTTTTAAAAATCACTCTTTAATATTGCTTTTACACAGCAAAGTAAGTATTTCCAAGGTCAGCTGGAAACACAGGAGGCAGTACTAGGGCTTCTCTTTGGGAGTGTAGCTTTAGAACCCAAGAAATTCTCCTCCTTCCCTGCACTTATCATCTCTGATTTAAATAATACGCTTGCCCCTTCCTTCCCCTCTGTAGTCCTAGACTCCATAAGCTCCACAAAAACAGGTACCCTGATCTGTCCCGTTCAACAATCTACCTCTAGGGCAAAGTTCAGTTTCTCATATAATGAAGTACTATAAATACTTGATGAATGAGTGATGACTCTGGCAGCCAGAATTAAGCAGTCTCAAACAAAGAAACAGGAAAGGAGTTTGTGACTTTGGCTGAGAAGCCTATTGGGGCAAAAAGCTCACTACTTAGCCTTCTCCAGCTTTGGCTTCTTGGCCGAGTCCAAGGCAAAAGCTGCCCGCCTCGGTTCAGGATCTCAACACCTGGCCTGGGGATAGTTTGTCAGGTGAGTAAATGCCAAACACCATACTGAGAAATTCATCTCAAGAAATTCAGAAGTTATAAGCAATCAGTCCTGGGAAAGCTCACAGTTTTGTGTGAATTTACTGTAGAATTTGCTTACAACACAATATTAGGAAAAAAAAGTTTTAATATCACATTTATCTGGCTTCAGAATCCAAGTTCTTTCCACTGAAGTGAATAATCCCTGGTCTTTTAGGTTTATTCCCTTTGTGGAGATAGACATATGCTATCAGTCAAATAACTTGACTGATATCTTTCAACATCTAAATTCTATAATGCACTCCCTGAGCAGATTCTACGTACATCAAGAGATTTCCTGATTAGAGTTTGGCTTCTGTGTATATTACCCTAACCATGCCAACAAGAGAATTTGTTCTCTGTAGTAGTTCTATTTTTCTCTGTAAATGGGCATCTGGTTTATAAAAGTCACCCTCCTGTGAGTTGGTTAACACACATCAGTGTGCCTGACCAAGAGCAATCAACTCTGGAGTCTCCCCAATAAGAATGAGTGTAAGAACAAACAAGGCTAAGGACCACTGTAAGAGGCCTCTTGGCAGTCAGCCAGCTCCTGGGGACACCACTTGCAACTCTCAGCCATGGAAAGGTAGCCCACTAATCACTTCGACAGTGTCCTGAAATTGTACTACAAGGTGCCTTCACCTATGACACAGATGTATAAAAGTCTTACTTTGCCTTTATAATCTGAGGAATGGCACCTTAAAATAACACAGTAAGGTACGTATGCAACTTTTGTCAACACAGAACTAGGCACCTGTCACCCTTGATGGGTCACATCCAGAAATGACCAGGCCCCATAGACTGGAGACACAGTAATAGCAGGCCCTGACACAATAATCAGCAGGATCCATAGAAAAGGATGCTAAATCCAGAACCAGAGGGCACGATTCCAATTCCAGAGTTACCCCAGTCAAATCACAAATTATCCCACTGGCTTCCTCTTTAGAAAAATATAAGTAATAGAAGACCTAGCCATTGCTTTTTGGTATCATCTCAGTGTTCTCATAGTGTTAGAAAACAACTGGATCTGGTGAAGATTCCTCTATCTGCCTTTGTAGAAAACAAGTCCAAGACCAGCTCTAAGTACTCCATGTTGTAGCTATGAGACCTCAAAGTATTCTCACAGGGTCCATGTTTCCTTCACATATAAAATGAAGAGGGTGAATTCAATCTCTAAACATGAAAACATTTAGAAGGCCAAACGTGAAATAAGTATTTTAAATAAAGCAGGAGGAAGTTAAAAAACAGACAGGGCATAGACAATTGTTTTAATTGTTATAACAACCCCGTCAAGACTTGACAAACAAGTTAAAAACCAAAGGCTATGAAAGAAAATTATTTTCAACTCTGCAACACATTCTCAGGTGAGGAGGGCTGGAATGTTTCTCAGTTAGATAAGCTGTAAATTAATTTACATTCCACTTTTTTTTTCCTTTTTGTCTTTTTTTACTGACCGGTAATGGGATTGCAACCCTCGGTGTCACGCCCATACCGGGGACTGGCAACGGGATCGCAACCCTCGGTGTTGCGCCCGCACCGCGCTCAGCCAGTGAGCGGGAACCGGTCTCCACATGGGATCTGAACCTTCGGCGGGAGCGCCGCCGCGCTCCTAAGCGGCGCACTCTCCAGTGCGCCACCGGGCCGGCCCTACATTCCACTTTTCACAAGGCCTCTATAAATCCCGTCTGTCCAACCAATTGCACCTCTAAATGGAGTAAGTGAACAATGAATCTTGGGTCAGTGGACTGGACTTGCAAATTAGGAAATACTTTTTGGTGAACAAGACACAAATGATCTAATGGAGAGCCAACCTCTATAGAAACCATTGCCAACAAACTACCACCTAGTTTTCAAAGCACATCAATGTAACTTATCCCTTTAATTACTTTGTGAAGTAAGGCAAGCACTTTTATTTCCATCTAACCTGTGAGGAAATAGGGCTCAGGGGTTGGCCGGTAAGTTCAGTAGGTTAGAGTGCGGTGCTGATAATAGCAAGGTTCAGCCAGCTGCCAAAAAACAATAGCAACGATGACAGAAAAAAAAAACAAAAAAAACCTCCAATAAACCAAGGGAAGAAAAGGGGTTCAGAAAAGTAATTAGACTTGCCAAAAGTCACACTGCCGTCCTTTGCTGCACTGGGTGTATGAGCAGAGCCTGAGTTTCATAATTTCTAACATGGCACTAATTACCTGACATACATATATTTTTACCTGGCACTGTCTGTCCTCTGAGACCCTCCATCTCTTGTCCTGCGTGAAGAGGATCCCCTCCTTCTCCTCACTCTCACTGGCCCCACATTGCGGTCTGAAGGTGGAGGTCTCAGGAATTCCAGCATGCCGTGAAGTCTCTGCAGCCCGCTGACGAAGCTGCTCATCGAATCCAATGAAGATGCTTGGACAGTGCGGTTAGCACCAGTTCCCTGCCTATGCTCCTCTGAAACTCCGGAATTGTTGTTTTCCACACTCTCTACTCCCGTGAGCTCCCCTTCCTCTGTCAGGTCAATGGACACCTGTGGAGCAGGCTGGAGTAGGGGTGGTATCCCCTGGCTGTTGACTATTTCAGCAGGAGGAGGCTGGAGTAGCAGCGGTAGCCCCTGGCTGTTGACTACTTCAGCAGGAGGAGGCAGGAGCAGGGGCAGTCCCCCTTGGCTGTTGACTACTTCAGCAGAAACAGGCTGGAGCAGGGGTGGTCCCCCTTGGCTGTTAACCACTTCAGCAGGAACAGGCTGAAACAGAGGTGCTACCCCTTGGCTGCTGACCACTTCAACAGGAGCAGGCTGTTCAGCAGTATGATGATCTAGCTGTACCTGAAGATCACATTCCATTGCTTCATGAGCCATCACTGAGGAAACAATATTTGTAAAAAGTATTGGTAAAGTAGATAAAATGTTATATAGTTGATATAATCCTATCTAGTCTTTCTGAATTTTTGTTTAAGATCATTCTTAGCAAAACTGAGAAGCTTAAAGAGATTTTAGTTACTTGTTTTAAGTCAGAAGTGTTTGGTAAACAAGGGGGGGGGGGAAGAAGACACAACAATTACAATTCCTTGAAATTGATAGGACAAGCAAAGAGAAAGGACATTGTTGGGAGGGAGATGGGAGAGGGAGGAGGGAGGGAGGTTTCGGTAATTGGCCACAATAATCAACCACATTGTATATTGACAAAATAAAATAAGAAAGTGTTCGGTAATCGTTTTTATAATCATCAGTTTTCCAGTTTATCCTTTCAAAAAATGAAGTCTTGTTATCAGTTAATATCTTACAAAATAGAAAGATCTATAAAATAAGGAGATTGAACTACTGGATCTGAAAGTAATCTCCCAGACACCTTGCAGTTCTTTGTCTTGACTTGGATATGGACATTTACCCAAAACAAATAGATATAATGCTGTATCTAATTTTGGTAGGCAATATTCATCTTTCACAGCATCAAAACTTAACAAAAGATAAACAAAAAGAGAAAGGACATTTTTACACTTGCAAAATTAACTCAGTTACTTAGTCAAAACATAAACTTACTTAATTTCTCCAAAAGGTTGAGAAACCTTTATTTACCCCATACCTTTCACTATTTTTGTTTCCCATCTCTAAATCCATTATGTTAGTACATTCAACCAATATTTATTTATTTATTTATTTATTTATGTATTTAATTTATTCATCCCCCCCCCCCTTTTTTGGTCTTTTTTCGTGTCCGGCAATGGATCGCAACCCTCAGTGCTGCGCCCGCACCTCGCTCAGCCAGTGAGCGGGAACCGGTCTGTATGTGGGATCCGAACCCTTGGCGGGAGCGCCACTGCGCTCCCAAGCGGAGCACTGTAGCAGTGCGCCACCGGGCTGGCCCCTAATTTATTCTTTTTTTTTTTCCTTTTTGTCTTTTTTCATGTCCGGCAATGGATCGCAACCCTCAGTGTTGTGCCCGTACCAGACCGGGACCCGCAACGGGATCGCAACCCTCGGCATCACGCCCGCACCTCGCTCAGCCAGTGAGCGGGAACAGGTCTGTATGTGGGATCCGAACCCTTGGCGGGAGCGCCACCGCGCTCCCAAGCGGAGCACTGTAGCAGTGCGCCACCGGGCCGGCCCCATAATTTATTCATTTTTTAAAAAGATGACTGGTAAGGGGATCTTAACCCTTGACTTGGTGTTGTCAGCACCACGCTCTCCCAAGTGAGCTAACCGGACATCCCTATATAGGGATCCGAACTCGCAGCCTTGGTGCTATCAGCACCACACTCTTCCCAAATGAGCCATGGGCCAGCCCTCAACCAATATTTATAAAGCATCTGTTATGCAGTCAGACACTTCAGAGGTGAAGACAGATAAGACCCTGTGTAACAGAATTTACATCACAGTGAGTGGGGTAAGTCACAATAAACAAATAAATGAGAGAATTACAGATTGTGACATTTGGTTTTTTTGGGGGGAGGAGCACCATTTAAGACACAATTGTGAGGGAAAGCCTCTCTTAAACAGTGAAAATTGAGCTGAAGCGTGAAAGATTAAAAGAAGCTGACCATATGAAGAGCCAAGGAAGACTTTCAGGAGGAAATCAGTGCCTAGGTCCCTGGTAAGCATGGGTTTGGTGTATCTGAGAAACTAGCAGACCAGTGTAAGGAGCACAGCAAGGAAGAGCAGACAGTATGGAATGAGGTTGATGGGCAGGACACTATCATTAAAGGCCTCATGGCCCTTGGTAAGTAATTTCTTCTATGTTAGGAATGGACTGTAGGGGAATAAGAATGTAAGCTAGGTGACCAGTTTACAGGCTACTATGGGAGTCCAGACTAGTGGTCACAGAGGCTTGGATAAGAGAGCTAGCAGTGGAGATGGAAAGGAGTAGACAGCTTTAATAATCCTCAGAGGGTTCGGATCCCACGTACAGACCGGTTGCTCACTGGCTGAGCGAGGTGCAGGCGCAACACCGAGGGTTGCGATCCCGTTGCCGGTCCCGGTCCGGTACGGGCGCGACACTGAGGGTTGCGATCCGTTGCTGGTCACGAAAAAAGACAAAAAGGAAAAAAAAAAAAAATCCTCAGAAGTCATGCTTTTTAAAACAACGGGAGTAGATTAAACCACCTAAGGAGGAAAAGAAAAAAGAATGACAGAAGCCGGCCAAAGACTAAAACCAGAGAGACATTAACATTAAAAAGAAAACAATTACAGGAAGAGCCAGTAACAAGGACTACAGATAGGAGGAAACATGGGAGAGCATGGTGTCTTTAAAGAAAAATGTTTCAAGGAAGGAATAGTCAAGAGCATCAAGTGCTACTGAGGGGAAGAATGGCCGCTAGATTAAGCAATGTGGGGATGATAGATGACCTAAAAGAGAGTAGTTTCCTTGAAGTGGTGGTTCAGGGGCCAGACAGTAAGGTGAGTAAAGGGAGGTAAGTCCAATAAATATGATGGATGAAGCACACGTATCTTTCTCTCTCCAATCATGCCTGAAAAAACTCATGAACACCCCCCCACAAAAGGACATTTAAGAAAAGGAGAAACGGCTGGTGAGTTAGCTCGGTTGGTGAGAGCACAGCCTTGTAACACCAAGGTCATGGATTTAAATCCCCCTACAGGCCAGATGCCAAAAAACAAACAAACAAAAATAAAAACAAAACAAAAATTTCTCCATATTTATAAGGCCAGTGAGTTAGCTCACTTGGGAGAGCAGATTTGCATCCCCATACAGGCCAGCCTCCCAGAAAAAAAGGATAAACACACAAGGACAAAGCAAATGCAAATAGGATATGAGATACACAAACCAGTTTTTTGAGGCCAAAAAAGGAACCGATGACTGGTAACTAATTAGTAGAGCTGAAAAGATGAAACTCAAGTGCCTGCCAAAAGGTGGGGAAGTATGCTATTGAGAAGGAAGCTGATTCCCAATAAGGAGATTATAAATCACACAAGGCAGCATTGAAAGATGAAGCTGAGAAGAAAAGGGCTGCTTGGGCCGGCCCGGTAGCGCACTGGATAGTGCGCCGCTTGGGAAGCGCGGCAGCGCTCCCGTCCGAGGGTTCGGATCCCATATACAGACCGGTTCCCGCTCACTGGCTGAGCGAGGCGCGGGAGCAACACCGAGGCTTGCGATCCCGTTGCCGGTCCCCGGTCCGGTACGGGGGCAACACTGAGGGTTGCGATCCGTTGCCGGACACGGAAAAAAAAAGGCAAAAAAGAAAAAAAAAGAAGAAAAGGGCTGCTTAAAAGCCTATAGAGTAGTTAGCCTGTCTCCTACTCCAGACAAAACAAAAAACAAACATAACCCTCTTCCCCCTATGCTGTAGAAAACTGAAGGCTAGAACCAAACAAGATTAGGACACAGGATGGAGGGTGGCACAGTAGTGAAAATAAGAGTTTAAGTGAAAGTCTACAAACTGAACAATGTGAGATACTCACAACCCTTCTTCCCAGCTTTTCGCCTGCACAAATACAGGACACAACATTTTGGTTTATATACATGCCCTATGCCCTAATGCAGGAGACTTGAGAACTGCTCTCTAAAGACTAGCCCAAGAAAAAAAGATCTTTATGGACAGACAGCTGTGAATCCCCCAAGAAATGGATGGGTCTCTGTACATATACCTAGCAGTAAAAGCCCAAAAAGAGAGCTTCCAATCAGCTTTCCAGGGTTCACTCCTTAAAAATGAACAAATGGCCAAAGAACAAAAGGATATGAGGGTACTTCAAAAAGTTCATGGAAGGATTTGTATTATCTTTTAATTCTATTTTTCCATGAACTTTCTGAAGTATCCTCATATTTGAGGAAAGCCCCCAACATGACAGAAAGGGACCAAAGCAGAAAAACAGAAAAAAGTTGGAAGAAAGGAAGACAATGAAAGAAACAGTAAAAAAATTTCCAAACTTACAAACCAAACTAGTTAAAATCCTCAGATTTTATGAGTACAAATACTACACCTATAAAACACAAACAGAATGCTACAGGAAAAAAGGACAAGTCAGAAAACACAAGCTCTTGGAAATAAAAAAATATGACAGCCAAAATAAAAGATTTAACAGAAGGATGGAAGACAAAGCCAAGGAACTCTTCCAGAAAGCAGAATTTAAAAGAGAGCCAAATAATTGAATAATAAAATTAGAAGCCCATGCCAGTGTATCTGATTAACTGAAATACTGAAAGAGAAAACTCAGAAAACGGAGTGGAAGAAAGTAAAGCAAAATCCCTGGTTGAGACGGAACCATAAGTTCTCTTCCAATTAACAACACTAACAGAAAATTATCTTCAA